TTGTTGGAAAAAGAAGGTACTTGATTTGCTGCTAACTTTCAAGGAGAAAATTTAAAAATAGGTCTTAAGTTTAAACCTCAGACCCACTGATTTTAAAATGCAGCCATCAATGACAGTGCTTCAAAAGTTTAAGAATGTAGTGGTATTTTCATTAACAGTTCATATGATAGAAAAATGCATTTTGTGGGTCATTTTAATTACCATATTTTTCGGTGTATAAGACATACTTCCCCTCCCCCCCCAAAAGTGGGTGGAAATATCTTTGTGCCTTATACAGTGAATGTTGCCAAAGCCCCACCCGTTCACCGCCCCCCACCCTTCAGCTCCTGCCTCCCAGCAGTTCGCCTCCTTGCAACAAACTGCAAACCACCTGGTCAGATTCATCACAGCCTGATTTAACACAAGCAGCTGATTGTCGGATGGATCTGCCTCCCAACAACCAGCTGTTTCAGGCTGGAGGGATCGCCATCGCCTATTGCTGTCTCTGTGTGCTTTCAGCCTCCGCATCCTGTTTTCTGCCTCTGCACGCCCATTTTTAGCCTGTTCCAATCCCCGCTGCCCAGAGCAGACCAAAAATGGGGCACATGGAGGCCAAAAACGGGGTGTGTGGAGGCCGAAAATGGGATACGGAGGCCAAAAATGAGGCATGCAGAGGCGGCAATAGGCGATGGTGATCCCTGCAGCCTGAAACAGTTGATCATCGGGAGGCAGATCCAACTGACAATCAGCTGCTCATGCTAAATCGGGCTGTGCTGAATTTGACCAGGTTATTTGCTGTTTACTGCAAGGGAGGCAGAGGTAGATTTCTTTTTCTTGTTTTCTTCCCCAAAAGCTAGAGCATCTTAATCCGAAAAATATGGTAACTAAAATAGATTTTGCTCAATATTTGTTTCACTTTTTTATCATGTTATCTTTAGGTGCATTCAATTTAACTAACCAACATGTTCATGTCTTTGCAGATGAACGACCAAATATGCATTGACTTTGGACCTTTTAATGCAAACCGATCCTCTGCTTCTAATGCAACTACCTACACAACGAAACAAAACTATCAAAATATATTTCTCCTCCTAAACTGGAGAGGAAACAGTATGGCTTTGTGTATTCTACTTGCTCTAGCCTATATTAAGCCTGTTCACAAAGAGGCAGAGAGACTGTCTTATTAGCTGCAAACTAGAGAAATGACCTTGAAGTAACTTTAATTGTTTATTTTCAATTGTCTGTGATTTAACTGCCCATCTACAAGACCTTTTATCTTCAAGCTAACACTTGTCTTTGTACCAGGCAAGCAAAAATGCTGAGTTTGATTATATAGTAAACAGATGGATGAGGCAGACGATATTGGAAAAGCAGAACATCCAAGGAGGATAGTGTTCAAGATAGATAATGGAAACATAGCAGTGGTATTAACTAGAAAACCTTTCAAGGAATAGGTCAACAATGGATATGTAATTATACTATGGTCCCTTTCTTAGAATGGGACTCAGATTAGAACATACAATGGCCACAACATTCATTTCAGTGCTGGATTTCTGATTACATGAGTTTTTAGCTCATTTTCAGTAGAATATATATCCATCTTGGGACAGGACTGACTTTTTCATTGTGTAAAACAAGATCTTTTGTTAAGCCAGGCTTTAAGGTATCTTCTCAACTAGCAGCTTGTGGTTATTTATTGAGAACAATTCTACAGCAGAATATAAAGAAACTTCAGAGTGATTGACCCAAAAACTGTTGTGACTGTCATCTTGACTTTTTTGACCTCACCTCACAGGCATTCCCACTAACAACCACTATACTACAAAGATCTAAATATTTACTGCAGTGAATATGAGAAGACCACCTCTTGCCAATATGGAACTTCTCTCATTCTAAAAAAAAAATATTCAATCTACATTAAAACTCACATTTCAAACTCACAGTTCACGGAATTAATCTTTTAAAGGATGTAGTCTACAATCTCAATTAGATAATTTCAGAGTAGCAAAACAAAGCAAAGCAAAACCCTTCTAAAATGGTATGATAAAAAATTAGCAGTGTGTCATTAATCCTCCAAGATTTAGTGTTCAAAGGTTTCATTTTCTCTGTCCATTTTTAAAAATATATATATTAAGGTTTTAATGCTTCCACAGAAGGAAAGGATATGGGCTGTCCAAAGGACAAATATATGTCAAACAACAAAGGTATACAATAAAAAGAGGTAAAGCAAAATCAGGCTTGCAACAATCCCAATATAGTTTTTTAGTCTTTCTTTAGAGTTGATTTCCTAGCTTAATCTACATAATTGGACTGATATTAATCCTTTTCACACAAAAAATCTACGCATTAACAGTGGCTTTTTCTGTAAGTGATCTATGTGATTGTGATTGCTATACAATTTGTATAATGATCATTTGGATGCCAGATACACTTTTGTTCATGTGGTAGGTGATTTGCAGACCCACTTTCACATTATACTAAAATGGGGCCATCAAATGCATTGCCCAGACATATTCTACCTGCAAAATATCATACGTATTGATTGAAGCTTACTCTGTTTTATTGCACCCAGCCTTCAAGTTAGAAACTTTATAACTTACCTAATTTGTAAAAATATGTAAGTATATTTGGGTACAATACTAAATTAAATAGATTAAATGTTAACAAGGGAAAATGGATACTGCCAACAACTGCCAAGTTTGCTAAGAATGTCATGCCAACTCCTATGATACCGAGGTACACATTTTAATAATGCAACAAGAAATGTTTTTATCAGCCATAAATGCAAAGTAAAAAGTTGAATGTCTATAAGATACTAAGCTGCCTTGACAAAGAAACACCGCCAGAGATCACTCCAAAAAGGTTTGAATGTCAGGTTGGGCATTTTATGCTGAAATAAATTATATTGATTTAAAAGAAATGAGGTGACCTAGTAGTTCATTCTTTACATAGCAAGCAAGCGTTTATGAACTAAATTCCAATTTATGACAAGTTTTATCTCAAACAAAAATGTTGTATAAATATTTTATGTACAAATTAGGTAGAACAAAACACCATGGCAGCTGAATTGTTTCAAAAGCCTCGTTACTTCTGAACAAATATTATTATACAGATAGATCTAGGAATACACTAGATGTCAGCAAGAGGAAACAGACCACATTGATATATATTATGAAATCACATCCTCACCATAAAATTACACAATTATATCTTACTTAACAGGAAAGATGGTATCAAAAGATAGTTCTACTTGAAACCACCTCCTATTGAAATAAAAGAAAAATGAAGTGATTTTTCATGGTACAGATTAGGGGGCATATCTTGAAAATTTCTTGAAATATCTCACCATGCACATGAATGCTATACCAAACAAGACAGCAAGCTTTGGTAAGAGAGAAGGAAATAATGCACAATATTCTTGTCAAAATGGATTCAATGTGTGCTGTAGATGGCACACACACTCAATATACAATGTTTTTCCACATTTTATCCAGCTATATTTCAGCAGAATCTGAACGGAAAGTTTTGCTTTCCATTCCTGATAATGATCCTCTGTGCACAGCATACGGATACAGTGTTTCTTTCTCAGTGCATTTAGCAATTATCAGATCAACTTGAAAGTTCAGAACATTTGCCACTTCATTAAAACCAATGGCTTTTAATGACCCAACAATACTAAAGGGTCCATATAACTTTTCCTGTTATTTGCTAGAAATAGTTAATTGCAGCATGTTTGGGGAACACAACTTATATAAATAAATTTAGATTTTTTTCATATTTATTTATTTAAGAAATTTATTTGCCACTCATCTAATATCCAATTTCCCCAAGAGGGGAAATTTACCTTAAACCTTTTCATCAAAGGGATACACTTAATGGTATACTAAAGCCAACTCTTCAATTCTCATTATAGCATTCATTATACTTAACTAAATAAATGGTTATTTTAAAAACTCAATATGGACACTCTGCATAATTTGATGCTTGTTTTTCTTGTTATTTTTTGTTTTTTGTCAAGCTTGTACTCATGACATACTGACAGTTGCTGAAGCTGATATATCAAATGACCTTTGATTCCTCCTTGGAATTTATGCCTGATCTAATGTAAAATGTGCTTGACAATGTCATTTGCCTTGATGTCTTGCACAGCCTTTTCCAGTCAGCTAAGATTAGTGATAGAGGTGTTACTATTTAGTCAGCTCCCTTCCCTTCAAATATGTACTAAACTTTAATACTAATGATAATTACAGGCTAGAAATTGTTCATATCAACAACATTACTTCAGGTACCATAAAGATCTAAAGGAATATTTGAGAGTAGAAGTTTAAAACAGCTAGACTTCAATTTCTGGTGAGACGAGAAGAGACCATTTTGATTTTTATTAATTGTTCAAAAATGTTGAAAAGTTAGATAGAGAGAATTGGAATTTTTAATAAAGTGTTATACTTAATTGCAATTTGTATATATGAAACTGTACCTCAATATTGTTATATTTGACAACTGTAAGTTTCACCAACAATTGTATGTACAAAAAGTATGTAAATATATACTACATACAATTCTTGTTCCTATTTTTTCATTCCTACAGAATACTTAAATAATTAAAATCAATCAATACTGAAATAGTAGGGCATATATTCTCTTGGCAATAATTTCTATTTTGATAGAAATTGTCTTAATAAATGCTATCTTTGAAAATAAAAATAAAATAAATGCTAAGGAATTTGAATTATGTTGTTATTCCGCATGAACTTTTTCTGAAAAAAGTGACTACAAACTGGTGAAGAAAATAAAAATATTAAAGCCATTCTAGCAAATCAATGAATCCATAACCTCACCAATTATAATATAGGATTACAACTTTGAACAGTACAGTTTCTATGGTACACATTTAGAATATGTAATTGCAAAGGAAAGTTTGACAAAAGAGTGCAAGAATTTTACCTGATTACAATTCCAAACTACAATTTTCTGACCCATATTCTCAATTGTTCTCGTGACAAAGTCTGCCAATTACTTACCACTCTTGGTATCGGCAGTGGTGTTTCAATCCGACATATCCCTTCATCATTAAAATTTGATTCCATGTTGATTATATCATCAATAACGTCTTCCATCTAATAGAACAAAAATTGCTAATGAGTGAAAATGAATAGCTAATAGAGAAACTTACAGTACAATTCTATACAAGTTCATGCTAAAGGGAGATCAATAATACATACGCTGAATGAAGTAGAGGACTGCAATCTTAAAAAAAAACACTTAAGAGCAAAACCAAATTAAAAACTAATATTTAGTAAACCTACCTCAGAAACCTATCTCTGAAAGACCATAATGTCATGATCCTGCTATAATTAAATGGAATGGTTCCTATATACTATGTGAGTTAAAGATCACCTGGAAACAATATATAAGACTTTCTGAGTTCTTTGAAGAAAGAACAGAGAAAAAGAAAAACCTACCACTTAACCAAGTGGTTACTTGTTGATTTTTGAGCGGGGGATCAGAATACCCATTTGAGGAAATAGACAATGAAGTCCCAAACTGTTTTCTCTCTGAAGTATTATTTTTCTTCAGCCAATCAAATTGATTTCAGTTATTTACTGATTTTATCCTATTTCCTTATTATCTCTAATCCACTAAAATCATCCACATGTACTTCTTTCTCTCTCAGTGGGATACACATCACATAGCCAAAACTATACCACTACTTATGATAATAACATCTTATTAACTATTTATTGACCTCTTGTTAGCCAGAATCATTTATGTGACTAATTTACAGTGATAAGAGAAATAGTAAATAAGAGTAGGTAGATTAGATGGGAGAAATAATGGTTCTGAACATTTTGAAAATAACTGAATGAACTTAAAGCATTTGGGAACAACTTTCTATCCCTGGAATATCAGTATTTTGGCCATAAAGCTAAGGCACGAGAATCCCAACAATTGAAATAGCTTTAAATTTGTCAGAAATGTTCCATGATAAAAGGAGCTTGAAAATGAGGAAGAATAAATATTATTGCTTTACTGCTAGATGTGAAGGAAGCTACTGCTTTGTACAACCATTTCCAAGAAGTGATTCATTTCAGTCTCTGTCCAAACCAACCTACCTCTTCAAAAATATGGACAGCCCTATGGTCTACATTTGCAGAATAGGAGCTGTTATATTACTAAATAATATAGTTATAAAGTATAGAATGCAATAGTTCTACAATCCCGATTTGCTGAAACAAGAATACTTGTACATGAAAGAAAGACTACTTTTTATCTTAAATGGAAAGGAAGGCTCAAATAAAAATATGAGAAAACAAATCAAATAAGGGAAGTTGGTTTTTTCTCCCCTACTTTACTTTTCAACCTCCAATAACAAACATCAACCCTAACATTTTTTTGCTTTTGCATAGTTTGTTCAGTTATGATTAGATTCCTTGAAAAAATGAAAATGATTTTTAGCACATCATATACAAAACACATCATTAAGCAGTGATGATATGATAATCAAAGACTTGTTAATGATGATGCATTGCTTGTTGATGTCCCTAGGAACTTGGATACACAATGAAGTTATGATTTTTTAATATGCAAGCTTTATGGTGCAATCAATAAAACTAATGTCTGAAGTCATCCTTCCTTAACCCTATCTTATTTAAACAGTAAGAGCTGAACAAATTGGAGAATTGTTTTCTTGTCAATTCCGTTTAGTATAATACCCTGCTCTGAACTAATCTCACTATAAATCATACCCCATTTTCTCCTCCAAGAGTTAGTATCTTGGTTACTGGACTTTCAGGAATGCTGATATTGCTAGTAGGTGGCACATGACCACTCTTTACTATAGGTGTAGATCCTGAAGAAGATACAGATTGGGAATTAGGCAGTGATTGAGGTTGGTTAGATAACTTGGTATCCAGTGTCAGGAATGGTTTCACTTGATGCTGTGGAATTTGCTGAATGTGATACCTCATTGGATTTTCCAGATGGGCTTGAACCTGAAAATAACAGGAAAAGATACTGAAATCCTTTGTAAGCCTGATATGCACATTTTTGATAGAGAAATTTGATAGCAGTGAGATAAGTTATATTTCCACTTGAAATCTTTGACCGTTGTATCCTTTGACTGTTAATACAAGTAGATTGTAATTGCTATTGCTTGCATCAGAATTATCTATGCTACATTCACAAACTAATAAAAATGATGCTTTTTTCAAACCATTTTTCTTTACTCTCTAAATTTTCCAATTCTCACTCAATATTCATCCCACTATTGGTGGGAATAAACATTTACAAAAGATATCTAGGCATTATTTAATATATAATTACCATGCAACCCTGTTTTAAAACCTTGTCTGAAATGAAATTTATCTATACAGTTATAGCCCAATAACAAACATTCTAAAAAATGGGCATTGCATTAACAAAATAATTAACCATTAGGCATCTTTTTAAAAATTAGCTCACCTGATAGCAAGAGCAATCTGTCAAATGAGGCATTTTCAGGTTTACCACAGATTATCCAGGAAAGTATATAACATGATGGAAGTCTGACAGGACAAATATAGTATTCTCAGTGCTTTGCTTTGGGACTGACAAAATTTTGTGCAACCAATGAGGCATAATAAAGTTAGTGGTCATGTCCTAAATAGCTAATTGTACAGTCCATCCTTTGTGCAGATTGATAGCCACAACTTCAAATAACACCCATTTTAGAGCCTCTCCACATTCCTACTATTTATCTACTTCAAGGATAGAGGCTATACAAATATGTACTGTTACATTCAGCCTCTGGCTTTCTTGAAATACTCTAGTATGACTAATGAGAATTTTCTTCTAATTTTCTTCCAATGTTTCTTAAGATTTAAATAATACTGAAGCTTTTGTGTATTATATTTAATTTACTTGTAACATTAAATGCAATATGCAATTCTAATCCTAGTTTTAGTTAATGTAATTATTTTTCAAGCAAATTTAAGAGGATCACAAACTCACATTCTTATACTAATCCTTTAGATACCCGTTGCTTCCCCAGCTATTCTATGTTATTTCATCTCGCTTTTACTTTTTTTCAAGTTCTATTCCATTATAGGTATTTATGTATTTATTTAAATGAATAAAATTGCAAAAAAATTAACCGAGAAGCATTAAAGTAGAGTTTAAAACTAGCCATCTCAGTTCTCAAACATCTGCAAAAAAAAAAAAATTATTTACAGAATAGAACATAACTACGCATAAATCAAAAATTCAGCCAAAAATATATCAACTTTATTTTAGTGGTGCTTCAGCACTTCCATTTGACTGGATCATGCAGCCAGTGAAGCTGTAACTGACTCACAATTACAATTGGAATGTTCATTGTATAGTCTATGTAGCCACATAAACAAATCATGACTGTTTTTCTACTAAGTTTTATATGTGCATTCAATCTTTGAGTTAAAAATATTTTCCATGAGAAAACATGTAATATTCAGCTTCTGAAATCAGACAATTATTTTTCAATGCTTATTATTCAATCTGGTCTGAAATAATCTTCTGGATTATATCTAGATGTTAGAAATTTTATGTATGTTTACTTGGAAATAGATCTATGCATCTGTATAGATTATTATTCATTAATATAACTGTAACCTATTTGTATTTGTGAAATACAATCACGACTAAATATTAAAAAGGATGTTTGCAACATCCTTTATTTTCAATTTAACATTTGCTCGACATTATATTTTAAGAGTATCCTACTATATCAGTGGTGTCAAACTCAAGGCCTAGGAGCTGGCCTGCAGGGTATTTAGATCTGGCCTGCAAGCCCACCCTGGGAACAGCAAAGAAGTGGTTCGCTGTGCCTCTGCCAGCAAAAATGGAGCTCAGGAGGGCCACATGCGGCCCTCTGGGGCTCCGTTTTTGGCCACAAGGGCCTCCTACAGCACTCTGTCAGCAAAAATGGAATCCAGGCAGCTGCACACAGCCTCCTGAGCTCTGTTTTTGCTGGCAGAGCACTGCAGGAGGCCATCACGGCCAAAGAGCCTTGATGAATGATGTTGAGCTGGCCACACCCATTCTGGCCATGTCCCTGGTCCCCCTAGGTCAAACACAACCCTGAACCAGTCCTCAATGAAATCGAGTTTGACATCATTCTATTCAGCCTTCCTAAATTCATTTTTATCTCTGCATAGCACTTCATTTACATCAAAGAAATTTAAGTGATCTATCTGGAGGGCAACTGACTCATCAGAATAGTAATTAATAAGTATACAGTACCTAATCATATAGAATGTTGCACTGGTGAAATGACCACCTTAAATTCAATTCCTTCAATATTTGTATAATTATGACCTTCAGGGAGCATCATATCAGAGTTTAACTTGAAAACCAAAAGCATATGCATCACAAGAATTTTCATACATTGAAGAATCAGTTTCACCCTTTTGTGGAGGCAAAACTGAAACACTTGATTTCTTTGGCAATCTTGGAATTTGAACATACATTGTTAGGAAAAGTCCAGTCTCTTATCTATGGAGATTCTCAGTCATCCAGGTCATGGTTGTCCCAAAGGTGCTTTTTCAAGAGGTAATTGGACTTTCTGGTTGTTCTTTGAAGATGTTTTGCTTCTCATTCAAGAAGCTTCTTCAGGTTCTTGAATGAGAAGTGAAATATCAAGAAAAATCAGAAAGTCCGGTTACCTCTTGAAAAAGCACATTTGGTCCAGTCCCTTGGTCATTAATAATAAAACAGACCTTCTTTCATTTCATCAAGATGCAAGAACTGCTCGGACGCTTTTAGCATTGTGAAAACAGAGAGGAAGGCATTTAGGACTTTGGTTCTTTGTTTCTGATTTTCAAAAGCAATAGAAAAGATTGCACTTTTAGGAAACCTACAGCAAATGCTAGGATCTTCTATCTGCTTCTATCTGCTGCTCTACATGTTAAAGGTTCCCTTGAATTTTCAAACTTTCCACACGGAAGTAGTTAGCAGTTGCCTTCACAGCAGTTGGCAAAATCTCCACTGATTAAGAAAAAGGCTAAGCAGGGATAATTACAGTTCATTCTTGAATTAGACAATATTAGAAAAGCCCAGGGCAGGAAACAAGCCTGGAAAATTTAAAAATAAAATAAAATAAAATCCCAACAGACTGATTACTTCCACTTTGATACGAAAAAAACTACGTGGTCATGTTCATGTGGCACCCCGAGGTTAACTAAGGTGACCTATCAGTTTATATGGTCAAATTACAAATATTATTGCTAAGGTTTTTTCCTCTCTTAACCCTGAAAATAGAATCTTCTTTATATTTATCTTCATCAATAGCTACATTTTATTCTGTCCTATTTAGAATAAAGGTTATTGTGTGTAAAAGCTTTGAAGTTTAAACAAAACATTCATGTGACATTAAATAGTTATTTATATTAACCTTTTGACACCATAATCTTCAACAAACTGAGTGAAATGAAAGAAACTGAAGAAACAACTATTTTCATGGTTCCCGCTACAACTGCATTATTGAGCTGTCTATTTTAGTGTCAAAAATCTAAAAATAGTTCTGGTTTCTCTCTTTCTGTATACACTTCTTTATCATAGCTGTTAGGCATTATTAAATCTTCTTGTATTGTAGTTCAAGAGGAACTATCTTTAGATCCTGAATTCCTTGCAATGTTAGAGCACTAAGACTGACATGCCAGTAAGCCAATTTGAAGCCAGAATAGTTAAATAATGCAATGTTCAGCTTGATTTGAGGGAATCTGTGTTCAAAGTTCTGAGCTGAATAGATGTTGATGGACCAGATGTACAGTATTTTCTAGACACAACATGAACTTACTTACCCCGTCCATCATATATCCCAAAGTGATTTATAAGAAAAATAATTAAAATTACAGAATTAATACAGAGCAAACCTAAGATTTAATCAGAAAAGCAATATGAAGGAAGGAGGAAAGGAAATCCCTGAGGATTTTACTCTGCTAGCATTGCCAACTATAAGGGATAGCACTCATCTCCATTTCAATATGAACTAATAACCAGTTTTAAATTTGTGCTTGATTAATACAGTAAAGCAAATAACCTGCTAACAGACACATCCTGCAATATTTCATTCACAAACCTTTCCTCCCTTGTTCAAAGCTCTTTAACTAAAACCTTAGTCTTGTAATGTAATTCATGCTAGCAACAGCTACTATTTTGAGTTTACATATGCCAGGAATTAGAAACCAAAGCCTAATTTCCATAATTTTAGTTTCCACCAACCCAAAATAAAGACTACTTTAAGGTAAAATAACTTTTAAAAATCTATACAGGGGAAGTACATTTTTCAATCTACTATTTATATGCATGATGTCTGCTATAAGGAATGAATGAATCTATTGGGTTACAACTTTTTAAAAGAAATCATATTATTTGTATTTTCGTGCATGCTTCTAATAATGTATTATCGTATTATACATAAAAAATTGTTTTACAAGCTGTATTCAGTTGGTATACTCACTTGTTCAAGGAGAAGCTCTAGTATAGTAACTATTTGTTTCAAAAGGCAGAGGGAATTTACCACAAAATTGTTTTTCCATAAAAATTTTCCCAGGAGATAAGGAAAAGGAGAATTAGTCAGATGTCCAATTTCAAAATTTGAAATGGTTTTTCAAATAAATAGTTCTATTTTAGAATTAGGCTCATAAATACACAGGGCAAATGTATAAAGGTAAAGGAAATCTGTTTCTGTTAAATTTTCCCAGGTATGTTGCTATTTTATTTTAACTAATTCTTAAAAGTCCGGCTGAAATGCATCTGTCTGGAATATAGGTAGTACATAGTACATTTTATTGCTACACTACTATAGCAATAAAAATGTTTCATGTCATGGAACCATTTGGATTATTTAAAAAATCAGTTTGGGATTTAATCTCACCTTTCCCATCAAAACCAACTGAATTCTAATACATACAGTAGAAAGGAGAGCTACTACAACACTTTTACTTCCAGTCATTACAGTTAATCCTGAAACATTCCATGATCAAATCTCCTGAGGGTGAATCAAATAGTAACACTGAAGGGTCCGTGGTGCTCTCTGAGTTTGGTTATTTTCTTGCGGACATGTCATTACTCAAACTAAGTAACAACATCAACACGTTTGCAAGAAAACAACCAAGCTCAGAGAGCGCCGAAGACCGCTCATTTCAACCCCAAATTACAATATCCTCTCTTAATAGCAACTATAGATGAACAGCTAAAGTTGAGCATTAACAGAAAATCTGCATCCTCATCATTCTCATACTACAAGTAGAAGTAGTAACAGCAGTAGTAGTTATATAGTAGTTTAATATAATGAATTCTGTAACTTCAAGGGAAAAGGGAAAAAGCCAGCAGCTGGCAACTGGATTAATCTTCAGGGATTTACATATTACTGTTCACAATAAGTGGCCAACAATCTTCTCAGAAATTGTTAATATTTAATTTGTATTTATTTATAGGACCACCTAACTTAAGGCAATGTTACTCTGGACAACATACAGCAAAAAGAAAAGAATCAGAACAAAAAATAAACCCAGAAACAACCATATAAAATTTAAAAACCTACCCAAAATTTAATATATAAAATGAAGAATGAACATGACAATTAAACCAGAAGGGAATTCCACTCAGTTATTTCCAAATACATGGGGCAAGATCTAGGTCTTAATGGCTTTTCTAATAATGTTATTCCTTTGTAATTTGAAATATAAAATTCTCTGAGAACAATGCTATATCTTGAAAGATGGGAAAGTAGGGTTATAAAACAGCTATTGATTTTTTTAATCTGAAAAAAATACACCCTAACTAATATTCACAGAGTCAGATGAATAGAGTCAAAAATAATAGAAATGGGTGACTTAATCATCTAGAGCAGGGGTGTCCAACTCACATCATCACAGTGGTATCACATGATGTATTGGGACTTTCCTCCATTCGCTAAACTGGGCGTGGACATGTCCAATGCGTGATGCATCCAGCCAACAATCATGATCTAGAGCAATGGTCGCCAACCAGTGGGCCATGAGAAAATTTTGGTAGGCTACAGAGAAATCTCACCCCCAGAGCACCGCCCCAAAAGCAATTAATCCAGGCTGTGCAGAAACACAAGGCTGCACCACCCACATGGCCTGCGGGAACCCTCCCCGCCCACTCAATCCTTACCCAGCAACTTGCCTGCTAAATTGCTATTTTTCATTTTTCCAACCATCATCTATTCTGCTGTGCTGGGAGATTTAGATTAGCTAGGAAGCATGAAATGGTTGGATTTCTTGCTTTCTAGCTAGTCTTTAGATCTTCAGCTCAGCACAGCCAAACCTCCCTTAGGACTGAAGGTTTGCTTGCAAGCAAATTCAGTGCAGACTCACGGCAAGCAAATTTGAGAGACTGAGCTAGCCGATGGCAGATAGATAGATCACAAATGATTCTGTGAGCAACTCAATCTGCCTGCCTGCTTTGCCTGACTTTGGGTAAAAGTTTCTCTTTTTTAAAAAAAATAAAAAATTCAATATTTACATACATGGTGTGTTGTGAGTTAATTTTGTGAGTTTGATTGCAAGCAAATTTTATGTGACAGACTGAGCTAACCAATGGCAGATAGATAGATTTCTGAATGAATCTGTGATTCTGTGAGCAACTCAATCTGCCTGCCTGCTTTGCCTGATTTTGGGTAAAAGTTGTTAAAAAAATACAATATTTACATAAATATTGATAATATTTACATGCAAGACATGCCCGGCCAGTCACATGACCACCAAGCCACACTCACAAATTAGGCCACCTCACAGAACCAGTTAGTTGTCCCTGGGATTTAAAATTATAAGTTTGGTGGTCCCTGAGGTCCAAAAGATTGGTGAGCCCTGATCTAGAGACTTAATGCAAACTTAATGTAAGGTCCAAATTTAAGTCACCAATAGTGCCAAAGGGAGGAACTCAAGCAGAGGCTTGGAGAAAAATAACAGTTTTTATTTTGGCCAAAGAAAAATGCTTGGGTGGACAATTTTCACCATATATAGGCAGAAAGCATGCAAGGAAAAAGCCACACCTAGTGAGAGTGTAACTAACATCTTATACATGCAGGTAACCAATCGGAAACAAGCCCTGCCCCCCTGGGCCAAGCCTTCCTTGTGCCCGTTCTCTCCTTCACCGGTGCAGCAAGGAACCAGGGGGAGGAGGGCTGGGTGCTTAGCAACACAGGTGTTTGCCCAATGTCAGAACCCTGGAAGGCCATAACACACCCCGCTTCTTGTTTCACCAGGGACAGAGTCGTACAGAAAAACAACCAAGCAGAAGTGGTGCTTAATTCTATTACTGGCAGAAGCAAAGCAATTCTCACATAAGCGAAAAAGCAGTTAAAGTAATTCTACTGATTCTATTATTATGTCCCATTAATTCTACCTATTCTATTATTATTAAATCCCTTCAATACGATTCAAGCTAAGACTTCCTAATATGCAACTCTGTAAGATGCTGCCTTGCACTGCAGTAGTTC